TTTTTTTTTTATAGTAAAGGGCAAGGATGAACCTATAACATAAAAATAGAACAGCATAATTTTTACCTGGTTAACGTTAGTTTTTCAGAGGTTGAAATCATGGTTTTTTTATGTCGGAAAATGCTTGGCAAAACTGTTGCGAAATATTGGGTAATGAGAAAAACACAGAACCCCTCACCATTATTAGGCAATTTAATGTGTTCTATATGCAATAGAGATGCAAATTATGTAAAATTAATAGAAGAATTAACACACCAACGCGTTAGGTATTTAAATACCTATGCTATATCTCAGGAATATTTCCAGATGTCAAAAAAATGTTTGATTTAACTTCTATGATCTCTAATAGAAATACATTAAAATTTCATCAAAATCGTAAGAGCGGACTTAAGGCAGACTTTAATCGGTTAATGAATAACCAAAGATAGATATGTAAAGTCTGTAATTTTAATTCATAGCTAATACTTGAAAAATGAATATATGATTATTAAGAAAATAAATATTAAAAATACTTTAATAGCTTAGGTTGAGTTAGGTTATTGTGGCAGTTTAGTTCATTAATTCATTTAGAACTCCACAGATCCGTTGTTATAATACTTCTTGACGCGAGACCTTGAGTGATATTACTTTAAAAATCATTTCGCAAATCTTTTAACCACAAAATCTGATTAAGCTTATATTGTGTACTTCCTTGAGAAAATTAAAAGCATAATTGTCTTAGGACCTAATGCTGTTCTTAACTACATGTATTCTAGTACAGAAGAAGTGTTAAAGTATTTCTTTTTTCTTCTACAAGTATAAACACTCCTCGACTGATACCATGCCTACTTAGAAGAGAATTGTCAGGTCTATGTACACAGCCACTCTTTGCCAACGACGATCAAGTGCCGTTCGACACCTCCCAAGAAGCCACAAATAGTTCCAAGTGGGTTACAACAACAATATAAACGTGAGGTCAAGAATTTACAGTGGCAATATCATCTTAAAGACCAAGGTTGGCAAAAACAAAATTCTTAACAAGCCCCGCTAAACAGCTTTTAGGCAGAACGATGACTCCCTTGTTGCAAGTACTGTCCGAACTCAATTGAGATCAGTACATAGCAACGTGCTTAACTTTTACTTGTTAATATAAAAATTGCGTTAGATATTCCAATATCGATGCTGTCGTTATGTAGGGATAGATTTGCATTCCATCTTTCTAATTTGTTGGCCCTGCAGCATCCTTTAAAATCATTCTGCTGCAGTGTCGTATTTTACAATACTCTGAGAGCCGCTAATATCATTTAGAGCTGTCACGCATTTTATCTTGACAAGTACCTAATGATTATCTTATAATATAATATATCTTAATGATAGCTCTTGCAAATTTTATCCCTGTTCCATCATTTTTATTTTAGTATATATATTTTAGGATGTATAGCCAGTTTTATGTTCTGGATAAGACGTGGATAAGACATGACATATACAGAAAATTTGTGGCAGAAAATTATAACCCCAACACAGTCGCAAATAAACTGACTTTTTTCTAAATATATAACACTGCCTTATATACACTGCTAGAAATCAGTGTAAAAAATTACAACAGTAATTTGAACTCATGTTTAATTATGTTAGTAATATGTAAGATTCATGCAAAAAAACAATATTTTGTCTCAGAACAGTGATTGTAGCTTTCTACAACATTGCTGGAACAAAATTTGCAACACTTGCAACATAATTAACTCAATATAGAATAGTGACAGTTAAAATTTAGTTCCGGATCCAAAATCGACCGAGTTTACATACTAAAGCCACTCAGCGACCATTACCTCCTTTTGAAGTTCAGCCGACACAGAAATACAGGTTACAACTACAATAATCGAAGGAAGTCCCTAAAGTATTCCTACAGTTATGCGATTTGCTATTTGTTATCATATTCTTACTATATTATTCGGTCATACATTTAAAGGTTTTACTTACAAACATCTTTTTGTTCTTTTTGCGCGTCTTCAGTTTGAGTTAGGGAGTCTTTATTTTCCTCATTTGTGTTTTCTCCAGCGTTTTGGCTTTTATCATCATTCAAAAGTTGAACTGTTTTTTCCTTAAGAGAACATAAAATATAGTACACATATTATATTAAATAAATAATTATTATTATTTACCAGAAGTTTTGCTCTGTTTTTGAAATTTTGTAATTTTTTCTTGCACTTCAAGTAGAGCGGTTGAAGCTTTTGGACATATTGAAATAACTGTTCTTGATCGAATTCTTTTAAAGAATCTAATGCCACAACTGAAAAATTACTTTCCCTAACAGTTTTATTTTCACAATTCACACTATCTCCTGAATCTGATGTATTACTCATCATGAATTATACATATTACATTAAAATAATAAATTTAATAATATAATTGAAAAACAAATAATGCACTTTCCTATCGTACAAAAAATCTGCTGTCAGCTTGCTTATTGGCCGCATTGCCAACTTTGATTAGTTGTCATTTTCACTGCAGTTCTAGATGTGGCAAATATTTTGTATCTCTCAATCATACGGTATGTATTTGTTCTCTTTGTATTTTCTAGTTGATGGCTGGCATTAATATCTATTGATAAATTGCAATACAATAAATATATGTATTTCAATTAACCAAAATGCAGATTCTAGCTGGCTACGTTGAATATTTTGTCAAATTTTAATATTTTGAGTACACTCTGGAAATACAATTGAATGTGTTTTAAAAATGTAATATATCGTTTAGAGAATGAAAAATGAAATAATTCTTCTTTATTTTTCAAGATTTGTAATGAATTATATAAAGGATTTATAAATTCAATAATTTCTGTATAAAGAGTTATAAATTTTTCTATTTTCGCTTATTTTCTATTACTTACATTTAACTTACCAACATTTCAAAAATAACCTTATTAAATTATTATACATAATATGAATATATGAATATTACTTTATATATAACTAACAAAGTATACTAAATTTACTTTATGAATGCGATATAGTTTGAATCACCTTTGTAAACTTTTCTCTCTATGTTCTTCTAGCTTAAATGTAACATATTTTACATTTTTTAAATGTTCAAAAATTAAAGTATACCTTTTATCGAAATCCGAAATGTTCAACAGTTTCCATTTTTCAAAATAAAAATTAGCAACATAGCATTAAAGTTTTGGTATTCTTGTAGTGACTGCAACCGAAACAAACAAAACCATGACGTCCACAAATTGAAAGAATTGGATGACTGTAACTGCAATCATAACATGGCCTTTAGTCTGACGAAAACTACTTTTAATATGAATAAACCAATTGGTATGACACTACCTAATTAGCAATCTTAAATTGTCTCATTATTTATATCTTATCTTATTATTAAGTTACAACAGTAACTACATTGTTTTCATCATGATTCAAATAAGAATAAAATATTTATTACATCAAATGCTTTTTATTATAAATGAAGTTTCGATTTCACATTTAAATATATCAGTTTTTATTTCTTATGTTAGATTTATTAAATATCAACGCAATATATAATTTTTACTGTATTGTATTTCACTGTTCAACAATATTTTGACGAAGTAATATATATCGAATCCGTTTGGCAGCACGTTGCGGAAACTAAACCTGTCTACTATTGTGAATAAAATTCAAATTAAGTGACAACCGCGTTGATTGGTTGTTCTAATCAGATTTTTAACTTGGTTTTCAACTGTAGGTTGAAGACTAACATATTTATAAAATTCGTATTATTATATATATTATTTATATATATATTATATATATTTTTTATACTATATATGTATTATATTATATATATATTATATTATATATTATTAGAGTTTATAAAATTCATATTAACTTTTGTGGATTTTTTGACATTTAACATACATAATGTTATGTGTTAGGATCAAGGAACCACATGTGGCCTTACATTCATCCATTAGTCGAACCAATGCAAAATGACTGATTATAGATTATTTATTTAATAATATTAATAAATCTATTAATCCTACTGATATATTTTTAGGTAGGAAATTTTTAAGCCATTTATAGAGATTTAAAAAAATTTTAACTAAAGGTATTATTTAATATTAACAGGTTTTTTGAAAAAATTAACATGTGCTGCTTTCTTGAATTACCTCAGCTCTTCTAAACTGGATAGCAAATAACTGCCCTTGTTTTTCTAACATTGTTTGCATATAATTCTTTGTACCCATCTTAAAGCTAGATTTTAACTTATTTTATATCAGATTTATAATACTCATTATGTATTTTATAAGATGATTTTGTTCTTTTATTTATTTAAGCTGTGTCTTGGAAATAATTCTGTATTTAATTTCGTAAATAATTTTTTGAACTACAACTACCAGGAATCGAACTCGGGTCTGCCCAATTTGAAACTCAGGTATCAACGCACCTTTTGCGGGCCCATCAGTGTCTGCTTATAACATATTCCATTAGAAAATCAATTTTAAAATATTTTCCAAAATTATTTGTTATCAATTCCGCAATAATTATGGAGGCAAGTAAAACAAATCAAGTAAGTTTTATTTTGATATAAATATATTTTTTATTGTTTTTTGAAATTTATTTGTATAAACACAAGAAGTAATTATAGATTCATAAAGTAAATAAATAAGAATATAATAAAAAAATATATATTTCGTTATAAAGACGCGTCACTCTCGGCAAGAAAAAATTAACATTAAAAAATATATATTATTTGTTACGTTCACTTACCATTTTGCAAGAGCAATATATGAGTTTGAGACTTTAGTATTTATAATTAAAAGAAAATAAAATAAAATGAAATAAAATATATAAACATTTCCCATATTTGATGAATACTAGTCAACTAAATTTGCTGTCTGATTCATACAGCAAAAGCTGCTGTTAGGAGCAGCACAACGTGTGTTCTGATGGATCTGCATGCATGGAACACTACAAAAGCGAGTGCTGCACACAGTACAGGTATAATTAGAATAGTAGCCACACACAGCACAATATTTACGAGGTGGAACCTTTGGAGCTGGTGCTGCAGCTTGCATGTAAATTAGAGCATACTCACTACAACAACGTTTTTCGCTATCTAGAAATTGTTGAAAGTTCATTCGAAGTTTTTGGTGTGCTCTCTTACGCTTTTTACTTTTCTTTTGTTTTCCATTATTATCTCGCAACTTAGAAGTTTTCTTCGACATAATGGAAACTGACTTGTGGTTCGATATATCTTCCTCTAAATCCTTTTGCTGTGCTGTTTTTGGTGTTGCATTGGATGTGGCTGCATATAGAGTACGTTGTTTTGCTGTTTCCGTAATGAGGTTAAATGACTTGTTGTTGGACATATCGAGTGACAAATTAATTACAAGTTATTATTAAATTTTGTTGTGGATATGGATATTGAAGGTATATGGAGTTAGGTGTTATGGAGTTTATTTTTTACTTATCATGCACTGATACATTAATGCGATCCATTAGGTCATCAATGCGTGCTTGCAGAGTTTCGACGATTTCAGTTGATATGAATAGGTGATTATCATCTAAGTCTTGGATTATGAATTTGCAGCCCAATGATAAAGTTTCATCTAAATGTAGCAGAAATTGTTTCATAGCCGGATCACTGGAAAAAATCAAATACATTAGACACATTTATAATAAATGCACATGCTTAATGATATTTTTCAATGCATAAAACAAATGTTAAACCTCTAAGATTTTGCTGTAGCAGAGAAGGACCTTAAAAAGAAATCGGTTCGAAGGTGATTCGTATATTTCCTAGACAAAAACATATCAAGGTGCAATGAGCTAAAACCACTATAAGATTTGGTGGGAAGACAAATGGTAAAACATTCATTGCTTACATGTCATCGGTAATTTTAATGTAAATACTTTATTCAAGCTTAAGTTAAGCAATCAGCGTAACGAAATACACAAAATATATGAAATTATTGTAACATTTATTTGTTACAGTTTACAATTCAAAACATAAACAAATATCAAGCATTTCTTACAAGTTACGCAGATTTAATAAAACTATGATATATTCACTCACCATTTAACTAACACTCCTTTCATAACATTTACCATCTTAAAATAAATATATAAAATAAAACTCCACAAAAAATAATATAAATTTTGTATATTTCTTAGCGTTTGTAGCCCTTAAACAAAATACAGCTGGTAGAATAACTTAAAAATCCGTCAAGAACAACCACTCATCGTATCTGTCAAATTTAATTATATTCACAATAGTAAATCAGTTTACCTTCCACAATGTGTTGCCGAACGGATTCTGTAAATATTATTTTGTAAATTTTTATCAATAAGTTTTTTGATTTTCACTGAGCTTAGGTCGTTTATTAAACTCATAAAAATTATTACACTTTTTTTTGTTATTTTTATGATTGTAATCACTTCTGCATCTGACTAATCTGCTGTCGGTTATATTATATGATGTGCTAGAATAAATATTTTTTTCCAGTTTCTTTCGATTATATTTTCCTTCACATTCCAACAAGATTAGAATTGACAGAACAGTTATTGTTCTATTATTGTTGTTATAATAGAAAAATAGGACAGTTAATAGAAAAGATATTGACACAAAAAACTCATGCAGTTGTTTATTATAATTTTAAATAAATATGAGTTGCTTAAACTTAGATAGTTTCGTGAATAGTATTATTTTATCAATATGTATATATATATATCAATATATATATTAATATCAATTTCAATCCGATAGCGCTACAAATAAACAGTAAAATTCTACACATTAAATTTTCCATACTTATTTATTTCCAAACTACTGTTTAGAGTATGTATTATGTTTGATTAGACCTACAATTTTTTTATTTAACTATTCGTTTAGTAATTATCATCGATTTACATTTTGTCAATTATAATTTTTGCATTATAATGTAAACAAATATGGCAAATGTCAAAAAGAAGTTTTGATAATATTAAGGTCTGTTTAATATTATTATTAAGTATGTTCGGTGCTTCATTCTAACAAAATACAAATAAAACTGCCTTTTATTGGCAATAAATCTAATATAATATAACATGATATTTATTGTGTATCATATTTAATGCCATGTATTGAAATATATTACAATTATTGCAATTAATGGTGTAGCTTGAACAGGCTAATAAATTTTTTTTATCATTTAATATATATACAATTAAATTGCAATGAAAATTTTTTTTCAATTCTTCTGTAAGAAATATTAAGTGTAATTCTGACCGAGCTCAACACCACATGTTTTTTTTTTAATAAACAGAATTTTCTGTACGAAACTGCGAATATTTACTTCTCATATATATCTCGAAATTATTCGTAAATGGTAGAGTATATGAAATAAATAATTATGATGATATAAAACAGAAATGAACTATTTTAGATAATTTTTTTTACAAAATTATAAAACTGACATTGAACAGCTGATGTATTTCAGGTTTAATAATACACAATAAATCCAAAAAATTTAGTCGAAACTAAAAATAAGTTTTTAGTTTATATTCTAATGTTTGAAGATATCTTTTACCTTCATCCAACATTTTTTTGGCACAGACCAAAAATCAAATTAACAAGCACATTGCCAAATCAGCTGTTTTAAATTAGAACAAATGAAAAACAACGAATGTAAACACTTTCAAATGACTGTGTAAATGCCATATAAGTTTTTTAAAAAAAAACCTATTAAAAAGTAAAACTATTTATAGCTCAGTGCCAAAACTTATTTCATTCACTTAATGTACCTTTATGCAAAGGTGAATCATTTAAAAAACTAAAATAGATGATGTCAACCATAATGGATGAAAATAGCATGTTGTCAATTTTGTGCACGACATTTTATTTAATTTTTAATTCAATATTAATATAATTTCATTTGAAAATTTTTATTAATGAAATTGTGTGATTTTAATGTTTTTTCAATCGAAAATACAAATTTTAGTTAAATAATGTTTCGGTTCAGTATTAACATACGCTTAAGAATAATTAATAAATAATAATAATATATATAAATAATAATATATATATAAAAAATAATATATATTGAATTATAAAAATGACTAAACAAATTATATTTAAAAACTTAATATATATTTATTTTGCGCTTTCGAAAACTATAAAAATATTAATAAACATATAAAATAAGCATTGATAATGAAATATTTGATTTAAATATGATTTTGTATTTATTTTAGCATATATAATATTGCCTTTATTACGATGAATATATGCATAACCACTATGATAATATATATTATAACCAATTTTATGCTCTCAACAAGACATTAAAACTAACATGCGGAAGAAAGTGAATGTTTCGTAGAAAATTTCGAGCGAATATTTTGTTGCGAATCACGAACGAATATTCGCTGCGAATTTCGAACGAATATTGTGCTGCGAATCACGAACGATTATTTCGCGTCAACGCTTTCGATGTATACTTCAAAACCATGCTTATAGCAACGTTGGCAACCCTAATTGTCAAATTGTTTGCGAGAGTCTTCATTTGACTTTTTGCGTTGAAGGTGTGAATAAGGAAAGGCGCGAAATGTGCAGATTAAAAGTATTTCTTTTATTGTTTTTGTTTAGTTTTATAACTATAAACAATGTTGAAAGCACAAAATTAAATTATCCGCGTGTTCTATTACCAATATTTGATAAAATATCCATAAATTTTACATTGGAAGTTATTGAAAAAGGCTGTTTCAAATGGTGAGAAATTGTTGTTGCTATTGCCGGCTGTTGGTGCTTAACTACATAACCTTAAAACCTTTTGAAAGCTTTAATTTTTGAATATTAAACAAATGTTACTATGTTATTAATTAAATAGGACTTCATCGAGGCAGGACTTGATACTGATAACACCACTTTATGACGATAGCGAGGAATGTTCTCATCGTGCAACTGTTACTGTGGTGTCACGGGAGCGTCGGCGAAACACAGCGATTGTTTTAGCCGAGTCATTGTCCACTGATGCCACATTGCGTTGTGATGTTATTATTGATGTTATTGATAAGCTTGGCGTACACACAACGACACGTCAATTATACTTGGAGGAGGCGCCAGAAACTTTTGAATTACGTGCCGAAGATTCTCAAGGCAATGCGTTCACAACTTTAGAGGGTGTAGAATTTAATTGGGAAATCTCTTCAATTACTAGCAAAAGTAAAGGTTGGCTGCCTGCGTTGCGTTTCTTATCGTTTAGCGAAAGTGAATATCACGAAGTGCCATCATCCTTAGAGAAGTTTGAAGTGCAGCGTATGAAAGGCTATATGGTATTACTGGAAGGAATAAATACTGGCACTGCTAAGGTAATTCAGTGATTTATTCCATTATAAAAATTGCTCATTTATTTATTTTAAATTTTAAGGTGACAGTTAGTCTACCGCATGAAGAATACCGTCATGTGAACAAAATTGAAGTGTTTATTAGTGTTTTGGCGAATATCATATTAGAACCATCTGAAGTTCATATGTTAACTGGCGATACAATTAACTTCCGTATTTTACAACTGAAAATGGGAAAATTACAAGAAATTTCTTTGAATAATCAGTATTATTTGGAAATTGACGATAATACGGTAGCTAGTATAGATGACGCCAAGGCAACGGGCCTTAAGCTCGGTCGTACCGTTGTAGTGCTACGTGATCGCAATGCTCCACTTGACAACAACTTCTCTGGTGATAACTCTATAACAAAATCATCTGCACCAAGTGCAAGACTTACTGTTGCAAGACCTTTTAGATTGGGTGTAACACTCTTACCTTTTAACAATTGGATAACCGTTGCAGGAGAAATGCACATAATTGCTTTTGATCTATACACAAGGTAAATTGTAATATATATATATATTGTATATGTTGTGTAAAATTTTGTTTTACTTTATTGTAGTGATGATAAAAAGTTAACACTTGGTTCAAAGTATAGTGTGGTATCAGAGTTGAGCAGTCGAAATTTTGAAATTAAGCAAGAAAATACTAATGGTAGTCGTTTGTACGGTGAAGCATTGCATAAGGGCACTGTAACTGTTTCTGGACAATTTAAGCAGGTTAAACTAATTTCATTATTTAGTTTGTTAAGTATTATTAACTTTGATTTACTTTCAGTTAAGCGTTGTTGCTGAAATGCATATTTATGACAACTTAGTGCTGGTACCGAGCACTGTAATTTTACCATTCGATCCACAGGTCAATAAGATTCAACAAATTCAATTTGAGGCAAACGGTGGTGATGGCTTTTATATTTGGCAATCTCAAAACTCCCGTGATATACAAATTACACAGAATGGTTTGGCCACAACAATTATACGTGACACAGATAGAAAGCGACATTTAGATGCTTACTATGCAGGCACTGTATTACGAAGCCGCGGTAGCATAAGAGTTGCATTAACAAAGAATCCTAAAATAATACGACAAGCGGATATATTTTTCATGCCACCAGTCAAATTACAAATTGTTAAATATAATTTTGAAACTGCATTAGATGATTTCGTTCGTATACATTTAGCTCTTCATACGTTCGTTAATGGCACTTATGTGCCCTTTACCACATGTGATATGATAGATTTTGATTTAGAGTTCAGTAATAAAATTTTCCAAGTAGAAGACGTTGATTGGAAAAAAGAACATATGACACTTGTTTGTCAAGTTATACATTTGCGGGCAACAGCAACAGGTTTAACGCATTTAAAGATCTCATATCAGTTTCAGGATAAATTATTGAAAGAAGAAGTTACGCTGAGTGTTTTCGACAAACTTGATATACTCAATCCTACATCAAATGAAATTGTCTTACCTATTGGTGCGTCGCGTAACATTATTTATATGAATGGTCAACAACGCATTTTTACATTAGAAGCTGAGTTAGTCAAGGAGACTGAATATGATCAGAGTGTGGCGAAAATCAATGAACTCGATGTTGAGTCTTCAAATGCTATATATGCTTATAATATTTTATGTACTAAAATCGGTAGTACAACTCTTGATTTCAAGATTTTTAATAAATTAGTACCAAAGAATTTCCTACCTTACACTTCCAAAATTTTGACTGAGATACATTGTGTTGCTCCACGTTTTCTTAATTTATATGCCACTGAGAAATTGCGTCCAACGTGTCCTATGCAAATGAAGCTTTCGCTTCTACATCTCAAAGATCGCGATGAAAAATTCGAAATAGAAATTGAAGTACAAGATGCGCAAAACCGTAGATTAATGAATATTTCATCGCTGCTTATTGATTGGAAGTTCGCTGTTGGTGATGAACGTTTCCATTCTGATTCAACATTGCATTATCGTCGAAATGCTGTAATAGAGTTTATTAAAGGTGTACCTATACCTAGTAAAGATTTATTTGTTACAACATTCCCGGAACCAGTGCCAAATTTCCGCATACGTGGTGATGTTACAAATTATATACCAGGCATACTGAATCACTTTAACATACGTGCCGAAACGCCGGTCTTTGCAGCCACAAATGTAAGCTAAAAAATTAATATATGTATATATGTATAATTAATATATGTAGTTTTAATTATGATTGGAAATGTGCTAAACATACAACTGGATATTCTGAGCGTAACATAACTTTTTAAAACAATATTATTTATATCTATATATATATACCTTCTATCTATACCTTATTTTTATTTTAATATTTATTTTATTTTGGTATTAATTGAATTTTTATTTATTTTAGCATAAAACTCAAAAACTTCATACGCCATCAATAACAAATGAAATAAGCTTTATGGCTGTGAATAGTACACTGTTTTTATCTGATCATGTTAGTATATTTATGGCTAAACAGCATCGTGAACATATACCAATTGCACAGGGTAGCGGTTATTACGATTTTACTCTGAGTGAAACTGGCATTGTAAATATTGAATTTCTCGCTAAAGAAAGAGAACTCATATTAACGCCTCTTCGTATGGGACATGTAAGTGTTGCTGAAATTCAAATGAAATATATTTAATATTAAATACTTACAATTTATCTTAGACACGTCTTGAATTGCTTGATCGCTGCTTAATGACTGATCCAGCTCAGCTTTCGATTTCCGTGGTATCGATTGGTGCCATAGTTGTCGACGTACCAGATCGCGTTGAGCGTACTAAAACTGTTGAGGCTATAGTGCGTCTTTATGACTCAAATGATAATTTACTTACCATAGATTCTAATAATTTGGAAATTTATGACTTGCATGATGAAATTTTTAATTCCAATATATTGAGTATACAATTGGGTGATCAAAAGAATTTGGGTGTAGGAGAAATAAGGTAAGATCACAATAAATAGAATATAAATGAATATTGTTGTGTTAAAAAATTTAAATATTTAAAATAATAAAATATTCATATGATAACTAGTCCTAGAAATAATGGCATGTTAGCTTAGGGATTAGGTTAGATATTACCATTGCCAATAGGTGCTTATATGTACGTATATACATGTTTATATATGTACATATAAGCACATATTAGCAATGGTAATTTCTAATCTAATCCCTATGTTGACATCATATTATGTAAATTTAGATGTAAAAAATTATTTTAAATTATTATATATTATTATTAATGTATTATTATTTTGTATTATTATTATTTTATTATATATTATTATTTTTTATTTTTATTTTTAATTATTAATTAATAATTTGTATTTTATTGATTTTTAACGTCTGTTTTGACCAAAAAAAATAAATTCTGAATATAAACTGTTGTTTTCAATAGAGAGGTTTTTACGAAACAACCAGGTAAATTGCAACAATTTTTTTTATTATTTTTAACTAATTGAATTTTTGGTTGACCAAACCATACAGTTGTTTTGAGTATTGTCAAATACCCATCAACAGTGATCTTGGAATTATTCCTTTAATTCTTCGTAAATAATTTTTTGATACTGCAAGTACTGAAGGTTGAACTTGTAAATTGTGAAATTTGAAGCTCAATCTTTATTGACCCAAAGCCCTATTTGACTTGTATTTTCGAACTTGGAGTTTTGTTAATTTCATGTGAAAGTTAATTAACAAATTCGATTGCTGTGTTATATTAGAACGAAATCACAAACGAGCTGTAGAATAATTGAATTAATTAATTATATTTTTTAATTATTCCATTTTGTTAAATATTTAATTAATTAATATAATTGTAATTATTTATTTATTTATTAATTTTTTATTTATTTTTTTTAATTGTTAAATTTCAATACAATTCTTTTGTAAAGACATTATTTATTGCATGCTTTTATATTACACTTTCTTGTGTATAGAATTCAATCTAGTGACGTAATATAGAAAAGAGTCATGCTAATGTTACTCCACGATTCGCTCAGATGAAATTGAAAAGTTGAATGAATATTTTTCTTCTAATTTTATTCCATAATAGTTCTATTTTAAATTGATTTTAATATATTTTATTTTTTTTTTTTTTTTTATTGTCTTGTGTAAAACTCTACAAGATAGACATATCAATAAATTCTTAAATTCCTTTCATCTCTTATCAAGAATTAAAATCGTTCTATACTATACTACCAAATTGCTCATATAATTATAAACATATTTTATTATATTTTAGATACATTGTTACTGGAAATAGTTTGGGTGAAACTAAAATCGTCTTTAATAGCCATATAAATGAATACAATGTCTCTAGTGAACCAGCAACTATACAAGTGAGAATATTTTTTTTTATATTTATTAAAATATTATATATAAAAATGTAATTAATTTAAATATTTTTTTAAGGTTTTTCCACCATTGCGCTTATATCCTCGTAATTCAACGCTTGTGGTTGGCTCCAGCGTACAAATATACTATCAAGGTGGCCCACAACCAGATGTTAATATTGTCTATTATGTACACAATGAAAAACTTATAAGTATGATAATTAAATTTAATAATTTATTAGTTATTAAAAAACATATTTTTCAATATAATCTAAGCAATGGAGTCTGCTTTGGTTACTGCGCATAAATTGGGTGCTACTCAAATTACTGGAAAATGCATTATGCCAAATACTGGTAGTGAAGAAATTGTGATTTCAGTCGATACAGTTGATGTAAGTGTTGTGCCACTGGAAAATGTGCAAATCAAAACGCCTTTAACACGTATACGTAGTGGCGCTGTTATGCCAGCGACTGTTTGGGGTAAGAAATATCGTATGTATTTGAAATTAATACTAATCTATTTGAATTTCTTCTAAGGCATGCCCGACTTATCACCAATGGTTTTGGGTACTTTGGAAAATATGCGAGTTACTTGGTCTACAAATCAGCCAGATGTTGTTGATATATATAATATATTTACTGATGCTGGTAAGTTAACTATTAAACTTTTAAGTTGAATTTTAATATATATGAAAAAAAGTTTGAAAAAAAGTTAACATTTATTTACGGACATTCCTGATACGGCAATGATGATAAATACACAAAACATTGCTCACAACATGTCCGCAGAATATAAAGTTCTCTGATGAGCTTGTTTGTTAAAGCCTTAAATCAAGTACAGATACGGAACTAACATAATTTATCATAGCTAGAAGCAAATTATGATTTTAGCAAATTTAAACTATTTTGCTCTCATTTTTTTAATTGCACAGCACAAATAAATTATTTTAACTTGTCAATAATTTGCTATGATAATTATCACTTAATTTTGTTTAGTAACTTTTTGACAACTTCGAACAATTCGTATGT